GGCTTTTGCTTCTAACGAACGAGACGGAATAGCAGGAAAGTGCAAGGGAGAAGAGGGAGAATGAGATTGGGACACAAACTGGATTCTGCACCTCACTACCCACTTGTGCTAGCTATTAATCAACTAGCCCCTAAAAAGGTCTGTATTCTGACAAATAGGCGATTACACAAACAGATCATTAGCTACATTCATTGTTTGGTCTTACAGAACTGGTTGTGGTAACACCCGGCACTGAAACATCACAGCTATATCTGCTGAATAGATCGACACATCAAAGCTTGAAGGTAAATACCGAAAGAATAAGCAACAAATAGAGAATGTGAATAGTATTGGAAAGATTTTGCAATGTAATGCCTCCTGGATTGTTAAACGGTTTGCACTCACGCTCTGGAACAAGAGCGAGGATTTGATTGACATGCCTCCTGAAGAGCCACAATTCCCCTTAATTCACAGAATGGCACCATACAGCGTTGGATTAGAAGCCCTGAATTTTTAAAAAAAAAAATTTTTTTTTTTTTTAGGCTTGTTTTTGGCAGGGGGAGAAGAACACAATGGGTTATTATTGGTGAAATCCTCTCCAGTTAGTGTCGGGAGCCCCAGGGCGTGCTTGATATGAATGAAGGATTCGTAGTGAATGGTGGTTTATGTGTGAGGGTTAAGATAATCCAGAGAGCATTGACAGAGCAGAGGAGAAAAGAGGAGCTTTGAAGAAGTTAAAGGTTAGGGAAAATGGCTGCAGGAAAGATAATATGGTGAATAATGAAGTTCCTCTGAAGAATGCATTAGCACTCGGTGTACGTGCATTGCAATAGTAGTACATTTTATGAAGGTTCAGAGTTTCCATATGCAAAATCTCTTTCAAGGATGTTGTGGGTGGTTGCCAGGGCATTGCTGCACAGCGTCTAAAGTGTTCTGAGCAGCTATAGGGAACTCTGGATGGTTGGGTTACTGGCCCAAGTATCACCCAAAAAAAAAATGTGTGTGTTGCTTTGGTATAGTATGCTATTCATTGTCCAGTAGAAAAATAAAATAAAATAAAATAAAAATATAATATATATAAAAATAATATATATATCTTTTATTTTGGATGCGGTTAATTGCGATAAATCATTGATATATATATATGATGATATCTATCTATCTATCTATATATATATCTATATATATATGAAGAGTTCAGATGCAAAAGCCTCTAAATGCCATTTGAAATTTTCTTCTTTCATGATGATTTTTATCTAACTTGTATAATTTCAATTAAATAACAATTAATAGGTAATTATCATTGCCATTTAAGTGAAATCACTGAACTTAAATATACAAGCTTGATAAAAATGATCATTCTAGAAGAAAATTTCAATTGGCACTTAGAGGCTTTTGCATCTGAACTCTTTCATATAATATACACAT